GTGTACGAAGTACTGGATGTAGTTTAAAATGTACTTTATAAGACTAAGTGAGTTTTCAATGTGAGCGGCCCTTCTTGCACTAATCCATCCAGTCATATGTAATCAAGTCCTCTCTCCGCCTGCCCTGGGATGGTTATGAAATATGAAATGACTAGGAAAGGCCCCATTTGATGCAATTTCACTTTGAGACGCTGTCTGTGTAAAAGATCAAAGACTTTCCAGGTTTTATAATAAGAGCAAATGTAGGGCAATCATTCTGAAAATGAGGCAGTCACCATGAAAACCAAGAGACGGTCCTGCCGATTACCCCACTTTTAGAACTTTTACAACCTTTCCCCAGAAATTAATTTAGTAAATAACCCGCAAATAAAACTTTGACCGGGTTGTTTTTAACTTTTACAATTGTGACAATTATTTGTGGTTAAACTATTACGTTTTAAAATGTCCAGAGCCATTACATACTAATATCGAAAGAAATATTCCAAGCCACCTTACAGATTTATCACAGGCTTTTTAATAACCCAATCAATTTATTTAACAGATTTGCTTTGATTTATACATTGTATAAAGAAACAGATTTATTGGTCAACAATTAAAATCATAACGAAAATATTGCAATAAAGCAGTCAGCACTAGCGATGGGATTACAGACGTTTATGCGTTTTGAAAAAACTACCTCCATCAGAGACTCAAATTTTGACATTATATCAAAGGGTTAAAATTATATCATGCCCTTGATTAATCGATGTTATGAGTATTTGCGTGATTTGAAAAACATCTGTTTGAGTGATTTTAAAGGTTTGTTGAATAATAATCTATTATATCTTGTTTATCAAGAAAGCTCGTATTTACTTTTCGGATACCTGAACATTCTAAATAGAACGCTACGTACTTGATACATTCTAAATAGAACGCTACATATTTGATACTTTCTAAAAAGAACGTTACAGACTTGATACATTCTAAATAGAACGCTACCGATGTGATACATTCTTACTACTGGATAACACTATGCACAGTACAAGCTAACATTTTCTTTAATTCAGTTCACATAGTATTGCTGTGCCCGTTAGGATTTGGGAGCTCTCTGTGTGAAAACCCTCAGTACGGCTTGTACAGCTATAATTTATCTTGTTCCCAGCACAATGGACCCAGAGTAAAATTAACAAAACAAACACTTTTCCAGATTTTTTTTTCTTCACTTGTTTTGTTAACTTGGACAAGCTATCAAGTGGGTTCAATCAAGTGGATGAGATGTAGCTTCAAATCTCTTTTCAATTATCACGTGTTAATGTTCTCTATGAGATCCCAGGCAGGGAATACACGTGGGTGACGTTTGGCCCAGCCCTCTCCAGGGACCCTTTTGTTTAGCTATTCAACATAAGCACCTTGTGAGCTACAGAGGGATTCAGAGGAAACCCAAACTGCTCTTTGCAAAGATTTGAAGCTGGGAAAGGCATCTGCCATGTCTAGATCATTTTACGTAGATTCTTTAATTATTAAAGACTCCAGTAGACCTGTTCCAGCTCTACCTGACCACCATCACCACCACCATCACCACCATCATGGGCAAGACTTTCTTCTGCCCATCAGCATGCCTTCACCTACAGTCATGTCTGTATCAGCACCGGTGTGTCATTCCAGGAAAAGTGGCAGCTTCTGTGTCTGTCCCATCTGTGTCTCTTCTCACCTGCACACATCCAGAACCAACATCCCTTTACTCAAGAGCCAGTTCCCAACAGGAGACACCCAATACTGCCAGCGTATGAATCAACTGCCAAGTTCAGCCATGGCTCACCCGGGACACGCACCTGTCTGCAGTCCAACGTACAACGTTACGGACCCAAGGAGATTCCACTGCCTCTCAATGGGTAAGACAGCTTAGCAGCAAGTTCTTCATTGTAACTAATAGTATTTGCTTCACCATGAAAAAAAAAACTATGTCTATGCTGTGTTTGCCCTTTTTTTTTCTTATTTTGTAAAAGTATGCTCCAGCATCAATGTGACATGTTCTTAGCTGCATTAAATAGGATTATCCATGCAGAACAAAAGTTTCTAAAGCATACACACAGTTACAGAAAATAAATACTGCTGCATAGATTTAATAATATCCTGTTAGTGAGCAGAATTTGGAAATAATGTATGGATATTATTTGACTGTGGGTAACATACACTAGATTGTCAGTTTAACCGTGGGAGTGCTGTAGAAGTATATGATTAATTCGCTGGCCTATTGCCTTAAGCAATTGCTACATTTTGACTTATATTCTAAATAAAATTGGAATTTTTGCCAAAGCAGTTTCATATGTTCTCTGTGTGTGCAAGGCATTCTTTACAGTTCTGAATGCTTTTTTTTTTGTTTGTTTTGTTTATTATTTTTACTGATAGTTTTTAGAGTATTTTATAAATTTATTATCCAGCTGTTATTGATCATTTTTTGTTTAACCATTACTTCTTTTTTTAAATTATTATTATTATTTCTAGGGAGCCCTGACAATAGTCAGATGCAAAATGGCAAAAGAATGAGGACAGCTTTTACCAGCAGTCAACTTCTGGAGCTGGAGAGGGAGTTCTCCTCCAACATGTACCTCTCCAGGCTGAGAAGGATTGAGATAGCCACCTACCTGAGCTTATCAGAGAAGCAGGTCAAGATCTGGTTTCAGAACAGGAGGGTGAAACATAAGAAAGAAAATAAGGGTTCTCAGAGGAACACGCATGGAGGATGCAAGTGTGCTGGCAGCCAGGGACATTACCCCAGATCTGAGGATGAAGACTCTCTATCCCCAGCTTCCACCAGTGAGGACAAGGAAATCTCCCCATTATAGACTGATAGACTGCTCTACCCTTTCTGTTGGCTGTATAACGTTGAACTCTATAAATAAATAGTACATATATGTATATATACACATACTATAACTCCCTAAATTTTCTATATATGTGTATATATATATATATATATATATATAAAACTTAGAGGGTCAAATTACAAAATGGAAGACTAACCACTCCCCCCTTCATAAAGCACATTTTATGTGAGGTACATGGGTTACATACTATATTATGGTATGGGATCCAGTACAGCAACAGAATGTAGATACATGTTTGGAATAAAAAAATGTACAGGATATATTTTCATTCCCTGTAAATATTGTTTGTATTTGGGACAATGAAGAGTTTAGACAGATTATTTTAGGAATGAATCCTACTATAGGGATATGTAAATAGATCAGTGTTTGTAAGATCACCTGCATGTGAATAGTTTTATACAAAGTTATATTTATATTTATTTAAATAAAGACACGATAGAAGCAGTGCTTGTTTTCTTTGATTAATTTGTAAATGTCTCAAAGTTTTGATCTCAGTACATTGATTTTCCCAAATGTATTTATGGATACCTTTCCTCTACAAATTTAAATATGCACTTAGTACAGTCAGACGATACATATTATTAACCATTTGGCATTTACTAACCATATAACGATTTATTAACCATGTAAGTGTCTCCATATCAGTTAATCGGTAATCGTTTCGGTGAAGTGCGGGCGAATATTGGTTTAAAAAAACAGTTTCTTTTCTGTATTCCACATTATTTAGCTTTAATATACACTATCAGCGATAAATGCCAATTATAGTCTGAAAGAAATATGTTCGGTAAAAAAAAGGAATAATTAAAAAAACATAGAGCCGACAAATAAATATCCTTATGAACTCCTCCTGTTAAAACAACGGTGCGGACTACGCTGGAACAATATAAAGTATAATGCACATTGACATTAATAATAGATCACTGTTTTTAAAATGGAAAATAAAAACTAGCCAGCTATCGATCTAACACAGGAATGATGACTCTGTAGCTTTAAAAATTGAAAGAAAACGGAAATTTAGTAGTTAAATATATTAATAGGTCATGTATTCGTAATTGTAATCTGGTTAACAGAGTTACGGTAAATAGGAACAAGATGCATTTTGGATATCGTCCTCATGAAATTGACATTTACTAGCAAGGAACGCCCCAGTATTTTGTGCTACCCCGTTTATTAGCCCTATATCCAGTGCCCATGATGTGCTAAGAAGAAAATTTGAAATGATACATAAAGTGCAATTCTGGGGCAAAGTTATAAAGGTGCCGCAAACGGTAACGTTCTATTGGTTTCCATGGTGACTGCACGTTTTTAGAGCTCTGTCCCAGATTTGTTCATTATAAACATCTCAATTTGTTAAAATATATAGGATTGAAAAGTATTTCTCTGGTGATTTAAGGAACATTAATAACTCCAAGCCCACATTATACACAGCTCTGCCCTCCAGTCTGCTTACCTTCTAATTCCATAGCTATTGGGGAGAATGTAATTATGGGGAATACGGTCTATACGGTGAATTCACACTGAATACCCAGATATTAAAATAAAGAGTATTTTGTGATTAAAAACTGAGCAATCACCATAGAAGCCAGTGGAATGCCCCTGCAGATGTCTACACTGTCAGCACACATCAACATAGCTATTTATGAATGATCTCAGCTCATATTTGCTCTTTATACAATAAAGATGGTTTACAGTAGCTAATTCAGGAAAAAAAATCATCTGATGCAATCCAGACTTTCAAAACTAGATACATTCTGGATTTATAAACGACTTCCTGCTTCCAGCACAAGGATTCCTCTCACCTCTGTGGACAGAGCCACTCAGAAATCATTCTACAGGAATGGAATGGCAAATTCTGTCTGACAATGAGGTTTTATTGTGCCAGATATCCAATCCATAATATATTATCTTGAACCATAGTGTACCTCACAAGGGGATATGGGATAGGACTCCTTGCTATATGAGAGCAGGACTTGGGGAATCCTGAATTAATTATATTATATCCAACCTGGCACACTTAAGATTTGTGGGATTCGAGGGAATTATTTCTTATTTCAAATCTCCAATTATAATGAGATTATTGTCCAATCCCACAGCAAGGAGTGTGGACTCAGGAATGTAGAACGTTCTGTGCAGACCTGATTCACCCTCACCTCTGGCAATTGTATGAGGAGATTGGGAGAGTCACTTGGTAGAAGGGGTCCACTCCTAGGAACTGCCTTTATCTCATGGATGGAGATAGGGCGAGTTATCTACAGCTTGTGCTCTGATCTCAGGGATCCACATTGTGTTTTGAATCCCCTCTATCTCCCAAAAAAGGTCAATATAAAGGTGTCTAGTCCAGTCCCTCTCATGGGACTCTATCCATGGAAATATCGCCTATCCTCACTGCAGTTCAGGTTCAGTTTAAGATGTTACCTCCTAACTATGCAGTTCTGTGCATTCAGAGTATAATAAACTATTCTCTCAATAATGCCTGGGTGAATTGTGCAGTTACAGGTGATGTTCTACAGATGGTGAAATGATGAGTTCTCTTGCACTGCATGTTGTTTGTGAGCTGAGTGGAACATGCATATTCACATATATTTACAGTACCAGGGTTTGCCAGACTTGTCACCTCTATAGGTTTAACCCCTTAAGGACCAAACTTCTGTAATAAAAGGGAATCGTGACATGTCACACATGTCATGTGTCCTTAAGGGGTTACAGGTTTTAATAGGAACTCCACCCATCTGCCTTTATATTAGGGTGGCAGTTTTATATAATGATTAGATCAGCCTAAATATGGCTGGGATTATTTTCCTTTGATATTTTATAAAGATTTCATCTTAATATACTGAAATCTCAATAAAGAATCCACATGCGATGTTCAATAGTGGATTGAACTTCATAGTAACCAGATTAGTAAATTAACAGGAAATGAAAATCCACTCAAAATCCTAAAAATGCAGTTTTGTTTTTTTTTGGTTCCCATCTTTTGTGCAGAGAGCAGTATGTATTAAAAGTCCCTATAGGCTGCACATGCCCTCACCATCTCTAGCCCTTTTTAGTGTCTGCTATTTATTTGAAAGCTCTATAGACAGACATTGATATGAATAGCTAGGAGAGGGTCTTTCTCTTAGAGGGCAGGGTTCAGGGGGATGCAACAAAAACAGCCAAATTAAATGAGGGATTGGAGAAAGTGTCTGAGGCAGAGGGTTCAAGCTGTGGAGATATTGATCTGAACTGAATAACCTTACATGCTTAAGCCTGATCTACTAGGCAATAGAGTGACTAAATGCGGGTATTGAAATACAGGAATAATATAATGACATTTTAAAGTAAGAAACTGTCTTGAAATTAATTTACACAATTAACTGATACAACTGGTCTTATTTGTGCTGTTAGTGCCCATGGGACTCGGCAGTATTAGTGTTGCAAAGAGCCAACATGTTCTACAACACTGTACAAAAAATGTTCTCTGGCATTAGCACTGTTAGTGCCATAAAGGCTGGTAACTACTTGGAACCTTATTGGTGATGGAGAAGGTAGGAGCACATGAAAATCATGGAAGTTTTCTAATTACCCACAAAACAAAATAGAATGTGGGTATGGGGTAATCAATTCAAAGGTTCCTGGTGGATAATGGGGGCCTGTGTCTCCTGTACAATTATAAGACCCTCATTTCATCACACAGTGGATCAGACACCAACAAGGGTATCCATAGTTCATTGTATAGCTATAACCTTAGTTGTATCTTTCCATCATTAGTGTGTGAGTAGTGCTAGGAAGACCATTGCTCACACGTTCACTGGGACCCTCTCATTAATTCAAGGGCAGAGGTGGCTCTAGACTTTATGAGGCCTTAGGAAGAAACTCAAACATGAGGCCCCCCTAACAAAAAGGTGAAAAAAATAGAGTTGCAATACATGCACACTGTCACATATACACATTGATGCACAGTTTACCAGTGTATGTGCCTGAGAGTGTGTCTGACAGAGAGTATCCTTATTTGTGTGAATGTATGTCTCTGTGAGCATGTTTGCATTTTTGTCTGGGACTGTATGTGTATGGGGTAGCTGCTTGAAGTGTGTTGTGCGTATGGGGGTCTGCCTGTAGCCTTTGTGTATTGTGTTTATGGCAAAGCTATGTTTCCTGCCTGTGTGTGTATGATGAATGTCTTCAGCTGGTGACTGTGACAAGGTGACTAAAGGGGTACCAGTGGCAGGGAGAGTATGACAGGGCGAAGGGGGTAAATGTGACAGGGTGAGTGTGGCAGAGTGAGGGCAGGTGAGTTTGGAGGGGGTGAGATTAACAGGATTAGGAGTGGTTAATGTGAGTGGGGATGCATGAAGAGGCTGACAGTGTGGGGGGATGATGACAGTGTAGGGAGGGGTGACAATGTGAGGGGAGGTGACAGTGTGAGGGGATGCTAACATTGTGTCTGGGGAGGCTGTGTGTGTGAGGGGGGTGATACTGTGTGTGTGTGGGGGGTAATCCCAGTGTGAGAGGGTGATGGTGAGGAGGGGTGATGGTGTATGGGAGGAGGGAAGGATGGTGGCAGAGGAGGAGGGGGGATGGGTGAGAGGAGTGGGGTGATGGTTAGGAGGGAGAAGGGTGATGGTGAGAGGGAGAGGGGGTGATGGTGGATAGATGATGAGAGGGAAAGGGGTGATGGTGAGAGGAAAGGGGATGGTGAGAGAGAGAGGGGGGGTGATGGTGAGAGGGAGAGGGGGTGATGGTGCGGGAGGGGAGGGCAGGGTGATGGTGAGGGGAGGGGGTGACAGGAGAGTGGATAGGGGTGATGGTGAGAGGGAGAGGGGTGATGGTGAGGGGGTGGATGACTCGAGGGGTGATGGCAGAGAGAGAGGGGTGATTTCAGAGAAAGCAGGAGGCAAGTGATGGTGAGGGAGTGGCAGGGTGATGCAGCAGTGAGGGAGGGGTGATGGAGAGGCAGAAGCAAGGATGAGAGGGGCTGATGAGGAGGGGGGGGGCTGATGCAGAGAGGGAGAGGGGGTGATGAGAGGGAGAGGAGGTAGTGGTGAGAGGGAGAGGGAGTGATGGTAAGAGGGAGAGGGAGGTGATGGTGTAGGCAGGTGATAATGAGAGGGATGATGGTGTGGGGGTGATGGTGAGAGGGAGAGGGGGTGATGGTAAGAGGGAGGGAGTGATGGTGAGGGTGAGGGGGGTGATGGTGAAAAGGGAGAGGGGTGATGGTAATACCTTTTTTTATTCCCTGGGGGTCCAGTGGGCTCCATGGTAGTCCAGGGGGCCATTATATCCGGTCTGCAGCCCCGCAGAGCTGCAGACCATGTATCTCGCGAGACCCTTCAGATCGTTGCCGTGGTAACCCGTGGCACGCTCTGTCTGGCCAGTTCTTGCGAGATACCGGTGTCTGCAATTGCTGGCCAGGCAGACAGGAGGGGCCTTGCACCTGGTGGCATACTAAGCAAGCTGCCAGGCCCTCTCCTGGTATCGGTCACTGACCGAGGACCCGAGACAGTCTGCCCTAAGGCGATTTAGGCGGCCGCAAGACCCCAGCCAGCGCGAGGCCTTAAGCGGCCGCCTAAACGATCTAATTAGTGAGCCACCTTTATTCAAGGGACACTCTAGATC